GCTTTAGAGTTTCGTTCAACTTATATGTATATTAGAAAAATCGCCAATAGTTATTTGTATTACAGTAGGGCATTATTTAAACCTTATCTGCACCAGTTAAAATTTTGAATAACACTACTATCATTACTGCGTAGGATACAAGGAAAAGTTACGTATCTTAAGATCTACTACTTGTACGAGTTTACGAGTTTATAAATACTGAACATTTAAATCAATTCTACAACAGTCAATTTGTAATCGTTGATTTTTGAATTGAGTCTCAAAAGATATGACTATAATACCTTTCTACGATCGTCTGTTTAGAACAGTGAACAGTTTTATTGATGAGATTATATTTGTTTCTCAAGATATTTTAATATATACTCTAAAACAGCAATAGTGTAAATAGTGGAGTCTGCTTTGTTTCACTATTCAGGTATATTTGTTCATAGTTCTACACAATAAATTAGAAATCTAATTCTGCCCATTTAATGTTGTAGTGTAGTGCTTTACGTAAGCAACATTTTAATTGTTAACCAAAATGTTAATATACGTTTTTCAACGCCACAAACAGTGATTTTTAGCTCAATCGGCTGAAATGTTACAAGGGCGAACTGTTATAAATTCAAGATTTACAAAAGATTGCACCTGAACAACCTTCGACCTTATTCTATATTTGTATGTTATGCTCTAGTCAGTGAAAAGTTTATTTTTAAATGAGCTAAATTTCCAAAAACTCTGTATTGAATAAAGAAGTGAATTTAGAGTTCAGAGAAGATATATGCTGGTATTAACTGTTTTACGTTCTTGACAGTTGAACAGTAAATGTTGTTATTTAAGTACCATTAAAATGAATGTTTTAATGCCTTAGATATATGTATAAATTCATAATAATAACTTGAAATTGTTTTCATCAGGCTCAACAGTTATCAATTTTAATAAACAATTAAGATAATTAACCGAGTCGACAGGACTTTTTAAATTACAATATACGAGTTTTGGAAAATAAACTTGTCAGTATCTTTAAATATTGAAGGATCTAGTATATAAACTAAGCTGAAATTGATTTTATAGGACGGTGGAAATTTCGAGATTTATCATCAGAATTAATATAGACAACGTGAGGTTGGAGAGATAATAGTGCAATTAATAACGGAACAACATGTTCGATTAAATATTATCCTATATGAAAAAACAACAATAACACAGTAAAATGAGGTGAATTTTATGTAACTTTCGAATGTGGAGCAAACGACAAAAATTATTGAATCGCATAGATATAATTTTGTCAACATGAAAACAAAGAGTGAGTAGATGTACATTTGTCTTATTGGGTTATCTGATAGTATCAATAATTGTCATTTTATCTTTAATCAGCTACTTAATGGATAAAATCTTCAACTCTGAAGAACTTACATCTTTTGAGATTAATTGGGCGATTTTACATTTAATGATTCAATATACTTTTCAGAAGTGAAACTGTGACCTGTTGGAACTCATGTAATTATCGATGAACATAATCAACTACTGACTTCACGCCTACAAATTTCTAGTATCTATCTTTCATAAAAAATAGAAAGCTCAGTTCTTGAGAGATATGTGTAAGGCAAAAACAATAAATTGAAACAATTTTAATTTTTTTCAAAAACGTTTTTTAACAATGAAACAATTTTTTGCTTTAATATATGCATGAAAATATTTGGCATTTAACAGGCTTTCAATGTATGATTGTGGTTTGATACTCCCAGCGTAGAAATCCTTCAAGAGACTTTGGTCTGATAGAATATTATATTTCATTAAGGCTTTCAATCACATATTAGTGTTTAATCAAAATTTATCAGTTTAATTTATTAATAATTCACGTTTCCAAAACCTGTCTTTTGTTGATTACGATAGGAACATATATTAGGGAGTATTGAAAATTATAAGTTTTTGTTTGAAATCACCTTGTGGTCTTAGTGTTTTATTCAGGTTCTAAACTTGATGGTTCAAGAACAGCTATTTTAATACTGACTACCTGTATGAGAAATATATTTTTCGATTTAGCTGTTTTATCAAATATTTAACGGATATGCACATTTTTAGGCTTTTATAACTTCAAATCTTTGATAGTCGATTTCAGTCTCAGGTGAGTTTAATGTTAGCTGTTTGAATTTTACATAGACAAATAACTGCAAAATATGCCTGTGAGGCATCGTTGATTAATAATATTCACTGTTATCGAATAGGGCGACGAATCATCAACAGATTGTTTAAATTTGTACTAAATGTGAAAAGAAAAGTTAGGACTTTATATTACATCTCTTGAGATGGGTGTCAGTAAACTATAGGGTCATAAGATACGTGTTTCACAACGGATATTTCTTGAGGTTTCTTGATCATAAAAAACTGAAATTATAAGCAACGATGGAGAGTGTCTGGCAGTGGGATTCACAACAAGCGTTTCATCCTATTTGGACCTCGTCTGCTGGATGTACCTGCATCTCAGAGTTGATGTTCACTCTGCTACTCGAACCCAGTACCGTTCGCTTCAAACGACATCTCTTTATCCACTTAGCTACTGAGTCCCAGATATGACAAAACGGGCGTCCTGGATTTCACCGCTAACCACTATCCATATTTGCTTATAATGCTTGGGAGTTAAGATTATATCGAAGTAATGCGCACAGTACGCACATAAGCCAATAAGAGATTGATCAGTTGCAGTACTAAACATCAATAGGAAGATTCAATCAAACAATACCAAGTGAATTTAAACTGTGAATTTGTATTTAGAAAATGTATGGACAACATATATTGTAACTCATTAGATGTTAGATGATGCCCTTTTGGATACGGTTCTTATTGGTGAAATTTAATTTTTTCTGAATGGATAGTATATTCGAAAACCATTTTATTTGATTAATATTAAGCAATTGCGAGTAGATTTAATGAAACAATAAATAAAAATGCATGGAACTAGGGAAGAGAATGAAATAAAATGACTGATGCCAAAAGATATTTTTGTAATTTTTCAAATGTTTACTTTACTGAAAACCATAAAATAGAAATCGTACATATAGTATTCTTGAAGATGTAATATAACATGACGGTGGTATCGTACTAAAAATTTTCAATCCAAACAAATCTATTCAATAATCAACTGCATTTTAATCCAAAACAAATTTATATCGATGCAGATATATGATCCATTGTTTTAAATTATTTGTTGAATATCTAATCTTTATTCAGTTCAATCTGATAATAACATCGGAAACACTTTGATTGGTATCTACTAACAATATAGTAAGTATAAACATTTTTACCAGGTTGTCATAATTTCGATGTATCTCATTTAGACAACTAAACTTCTGATATGGCATATCAGATAATAATTTATTGTTTTATTATATTATTTTTCACAATCTATCTTTGAAAATATCAAATGAACTCTCCCTATCATTTTATAATTGCTCACTAAAACCAGATAAGAAATACTAAATATTTATTTTAGATGAGTTTCCATTGTTTAAATTGTTCACTAACAGTGTAGTAAACAAAACATCGGTTGGGGAAAATTGAATGTATTAAAGCACAAATTACAGACTATCTCACTAAATTCTGATTATCATACAGTCAACAGTAAATTTTCAAAATAACAATCAACTGTCTTAATTTTAACTATTTCTTCTGCAAATATCAGTCCATCTTCTCTGATTTCATTGTTCACGCATTTTCGTACCGAATGCGCTTCGTTCCCGTTCTTTCCTTATCGATCTTCTACGAAAATACATTCTTTGTCTGACCATCACCATATACTACTTATGTGGATATAAGTAGACCACACCACAACATCATGAGTTATTTACATGAAAAATAATTTATCAAATGCGATTTTTACATAAATGAAAAGTTTAATAAAAATGAATACTTGACACAAGTAATATGACATTCTATTTGATGTTTTAATAAAATAAATTTAATAAAACAGGTAACACCTCCTATAAAACACTGTTATCACACAAACATAATTATTTTCGTTTTTTTTTCTTTTAATTTATAGTAGGATAAGAACATGTTAACGAACCAGATAGGTTTTTTTTCTGTTACCTGTATAGATCAATATATCACTCGTTTCACCTTAAATACAACAATATTTGATCGAATATTTAATTAATTTTAGTTCATCTTATCAACAAAATGTTACTGATCAATCGGTGAACTGAAATTACTAACGGAAATATGATTAGGAGTAATTGGATTAAAATATTTGTTTTCATATATAAAAGAAAATATTACTGACCAACTATAGTAATTTAGCATATTCAGAATAAGGAGTATCATTTTTTTAAACTTGTGATGTGAAGTTGGATCAATAAACTGATGTGATGATTGAACTTGATAAAAAAACGCCAAGTTCTCATAATAGGAACGGTAATAAATAAAAAAGTTAGTTATTAGTCTATTGGGATAATGACGCTTTTATATACATTATCTTACTAGTGATCTCAGTCGAGCGATATGATTTAAATTATCTACAACATGAAAATTCAGATTAATTTGAGGCAAGATTATAAATTATGGACGAAACGATTAGATTTAGGATAACAGGTCTTGGATGTTGGCGCGAAATTCACTCACCCATTCCACCAACTAGCGTCTAGGCATTTTAGCTGATGTCAGTTCGTAGTGAAAAAGCGTAAATCTAGTTCCTAGCCCTAACCATCAACTTTGGATTATAATCTTTATTCTTCAAATTGCTTTATAACCCATATTTAGCCCTAGTGATTAGGTAGACACTCTTAAGGTCACTTTAGCATCGCTCAAAAGTCGTCCATAGATTTGTTCTCACCTAATTTGCTTATTATTTGATTAACCTTAAATGGATATACTTTGCTGTTAAATAGTACAATATGAACTTAAATTTTTCACTTAGGTAAGAAGTTAAATTATATTTTAAAAATGTATTAATGTGAATTCAACAACATAAGTATCAGGTAATTAGAAAACATTCTAAATAAATATCTAATGAATTGACTCACTTCGTTTGTATCTCGAAAAAATTCCTTCCCAATGCAAATTAATTTCAATATAACACACAGAAAGAATAAGGCTGTGATAGCAATGCTTAAATAATGCAAAATTTCTGAAGCTTCATGCATTGCTCTTGCACCAAGTTGACGTTTTTTTAAATATGAATCTCCACAAAATCCTTCATTATGTACATTATCATAATGAGAAAGCAATTCATTTTCATTTATATGTTCATAAAAATTAGTACTATTTACAGTAGAAAACAAAAACGAGATTGTAGTAGGTAAATCTGTTTGACTTCCTAATTGAAATATTTTTGGTTTATCATTTAAATAGATACTTGTCTGATTCTTTGTTTCAGTTAGATTTGATGCAATATTGAATGGTATTGAATTCGAAAATATACTCTGAATGATATTATTCATTTCTATAACAGAAAAGGTAGTCAAAAAAATTTAATTTTCCTAATTCGAATAAAAAAGAGAAAACTCCATAGAAACAGCAATCTGCTATAAATTATAGATTAATTTTAGACATTAATTAATGGTATCAGTTTTCAATAACTTACTAAGCTTCTTTAAAATCATTCGGTAAAGAGATCTATCATTGCATCGACTGATGTTGAATATAGTAAACGATAAAATATCAATTTATTTTTGCTAATTAATTATTTGGAATTTCACATTGATGTTTAGAATTGCAATTGGTCACCTTCTTTTAGGATATGTTCATCATTTGCAGAATAAATCGATAAAGCTATAAATTCACTAGCATTTTTAGAATTGAATGGATAGTGACTAGCAGTAAAATTCGGAATGAGTGCTTATTTCTATTTTGAACTCATCAGTTGGATGTGCTTGTATCTAAAAGTTTATGTTCAGTGCGGAACCCAAATCCAACAGCGTTTGCTTCGAACGTTAACGCGTTTTTCACTTATCAAAGGAAAAGTTCAAATAACTTATACAGACAAATTAAAATTCTCGCCTTTGCACGAGTCAGTAAGTATCTGGACTCGGTAGCTAAGTGGATAACGCGATAGTGCTCGAAGTGAAATGTGCTGGGTTCAAGTCCTGGAGTAGGATGGAAGTACGCCCAGTTGATATGTCTTATATAAGGCGACACGCACGTCCCATATTTCACTGCTAACTACCTTTCATCACTGCTTAAAAATTAAAGCAATGCTATATTATTCATTGTTTTTCTGTTTTAAATAAACACTTCAACATGTTCAATTTGTTTCATTCTACTTTTAGATCACATGGTAAACTCAATGATCAAGACGTGACTAACTATAGCCTCAGCTATAATGACACATTGGGTTTCAGTAAAAATGACGCAGATACCTCTCCATATACCTCAATCGGAACACAGCATTGGAAAGTCGTTTCGTCCTAGTATGGGACTCATCAGCAGAGCACATATATGATCCTGCACTCTGGGCACAAAATCAGGACCTTCGGTCTAGAGGTTAAGTGTTCACTCGCGAAACAGTAAGTTGTTAGGTTCAACGGTAAAGATAAGTAATGTATTAAAGTAGCTACATGGGTGTTGGATTTTGAACAATGTACTTGTATCGTTTTTCATATTTTATAACATCCACCGGTGAGAAATGTAATGGTGAAGAACACATACCTGATATCAAAGCTGGTTAATATTAAATGCATCTCAGAGTAATTGTAATATAAACCCGACAGCTGTTAGCCTCTTAGGTGGGAGGAATATTTAATATTGGTAAACAATGTTCGTTGAAATATTTGGACGGAAAGTGACAAATATATAGTTTGTCGAGAATGCTTTGCTGAATTAGTTTAAACCTAAGAATATTACAAGAATATTACATGAAATACGACGTTTTTGTAAATTTATTTAAAAGCGTATAGTGTAGTGCCGTTGGCTTCTAAGCCATCTCCACTATGCGTTATCTTTGCTTCGCTCGCTTACACTTGCTCATGTGCCCACAGCTTTCTCATCTGCATCATTCATCAATAAAAATGTAGCTGCCGCTTCCTTTTGCCTTCTGATTTTGTACACCGTTAAGATTGGTATAATAACGGTTATCGAAGTGAACTATTATTGAAGCACGGCACTACAGAACTGGTTAGCCAGACATGCGAACACGCAACATAATTAGAGGCCTCGCCGAACGAACACGGACCAAAATTGGTAACTTCAATGTACGAACTCACAATATAATTGGCAAGCCGTATTTGGAACACGCAGTAGAATTGGCGACCGCAACGAGCGAACACAAACCAAAAATGGATCCGTCGACGACATATTCCGTTACGATTCGAATAATCATCTCCGAAATGCGCATCATTTTGCTTCTCTCGCTTCTGTTCGCTTCATCGCTCTGATTCCATGGCCAAATCAATCAGTGTAGAAAATATATGTATTCTGAATCCATTCTCGTATTTGATTTATTTAACTCCGTTGTTCACCAACGCGGATTAAGTCATTTATTACATACGAGGATAGACAGTACGTATATTTTAGCAACAAACAATCATTCATTCGATCAAAAGGGAATCAGATTTACGCCGCAACAATAGCCAGTCTGTTAGGCAGAATTTAGTTCATCTGAGTGAACATTTCATCCGCTTTTCATTTAACACTTGTAGACCACTGATCCTGTTTCTAAAACACTAGTTAAATATGAGAACAAGTAAAGAAGCTGGGAACTGACCAATCAGACTTCTTAGAAGGTATTATATTTGCAAATGGATATCAGTTTTGATCTTTCGTATACACTTACTTACTTACGCCTGTTAATCCCAATGAAGCATAGGCCGCCGACCAGCATTCTCCAATCCACTCTGTCCTGGATCTTCCTTTCTAATTCTATCCAACTTTTGTTCATTCTTCTCATGTCTGTCTCCATCTCTCGCTGTGATGTGTTCTTTGGTCTTCCTCTCCTCCTTTGGCCTTCAGGATTGCATGTGAAGTTTTGACTTGTGACACAGTTGGGTGCTTTCCTCAATGTGTGTCCTATCCACTTCCAAAGCTTCTTCCAGATTTCTTCCTCCCCTGGATGGAATCTGGTTTATTCTCTCCCACAGTAGGTTGTTGCTGATAGTGTCTGGCCAATGGATCAGAAGTATCTTGCGTAAACAACTGTTAATAAACACCTGTATCTTCTGAACGATGGCTTTCGTAGTTCCCCAAGTTTCCGCCCCATACAGTAGAACTGTCTTGACATTTGTATTGAAAATTCTAACCTTGGTGTTGGTTGACAATTGTTTTGAGTTCTAGATGTTCTTCAGTTGTAAATATGCTGCTCTTGCTTTGACGATCCGCGCCACCATATCTGCATCAGATCCACCGTGTCCATCTATGATGCTGCCCAGATATGTAAAGGTTTTCACATCCTCCAAAGCTTCTCCGTCAAGTGTGATTTGATTGATGCATGCTGTATTGTATCGGAGAATCTTGCTTTTCCCTTTGTTTGTGTTGAGATTTATTGCTGCTGAGGCTATTGCTACACGGGTCCTCCTCTTCTGCATTTGTTGTTGCGTGTTTGATAGAAGAACCAGACCGTCTGCAAATTCTAGATCAACCAACTGCATCCTAGCTGTCCATTGTACCCCGTGCTCCTTTCAAGATGTTGACGTTCTTATAATCCAGTCGATCATCAGAAGAAAAAGAAAGGGTGAGAGCAAGCAACTTCGCCCGACACCGGTCTATACCTCAAACGAGTCAGTGAGTTGTCGTCCATGAACTATTTGGCAGTTTAATCCATCGTAGGAATTCCGTATGATGTTGACTATCTTCTGAGGCACGCCGTAGCGTCGAAGAAGCCCCCATAGTGTTGTCCTGTCCAGGAGTTTTCTTATATAAGTTTCACAATATCCACATTTTCTTAAAAATTGTTGTTTGTGTTTTTTTGTCATAAAATGGAACTGACGAAAAGTTGAGATCGGATTTTTAATTCAGTGTGAAATTTCTTCTTATTGATTCTGCTTTTACTTTAGTTCATTTATTCATCACTGTAATTGGTATTGTATTTTCAGTGCAATAGTTTGCACGACATTTATTTTATCTTAATATGACATCTATTTCGTACAATATGATTTGTATTAATTTTGTGTGAATATTGTCCGGGACGTCATAGATCATGGCTTTTTGTAACAACTATACATACTTTCCTTTAAATTTTTATATCTGCTTAACTACACATCAAATATAAATAAATTCAATAGATTAAGAAGTATATTCTAGTTAAAGTTGATACGTTTTAAAGGGTCAATAAAAAAATTATGCTAAACCACATTTGGTTTAGTTCAAAATCGCAGTTTTTCCTGTTCCCATCATTTAATAGTTTTAAGGTTACACAATTTGCTTAATCACAGAGTTATGTCTTTGGTTACTTAGGCAAGTGATTTTGTTAATTACGTACTACACTTTAATTACCACTTTTTAACCATGAAAATTTCGTTTATATGAGATCTTTTCTCTGTAAATTGGAATGGTCCCATATTTTAGGTTGAAATAAAGCGTTAAATATAAAAAACTTTCTTAGTTTTTTCCGTTACTTACCACTATTCAAAAAACATTTTATAGATGGTTCATACTTTCTGTACCAGTGAGAAAGGAAGCTACACATATCCATCAATAATTCGTCATCTTTCTCGAGGTGATTGTTAAGGTGGAAATGATGTGTGTTTTCTATTCTAGGGCTTGGATTTGTAAAATTTGATTCTTCGGTAAAGATTTTTACATGATTTGTATGTTCAACTGTAGAAGTTTGATTTTGCATAAGTTTGTTATAATTTGTGAAATTTAGTTTTTTAATAGATTTTCTGAAATGCAGTTCCTGTTCATCTGAATAACATTGAAAAGGAAGTTCCATTTCAGGTGCAGTTCTATACATAACTGTGCATATAATGTCACGAAAATCTTCAAGCTGTGTGCGAAAATTACTTTTGTACGCTAGAAAATTATAATAAGGAGATAATTGAGGGAAAACAATTAGGAAACTTCTAGGGTTTAGTATGTATAGAACAAAAATGCATGCATTGTAATACATAAACATTTTTTAAATAGAAAATGCCATTGGATGTTTTAATATTGGTATCTAAAACCAAATTAATAAAGGACACGCCATGTCGACCACATATGATGCTTACTTGTCAATTATTTATTGACCGACCATTAGACATATTGTAATGGTAAATAAAAAATATACATTGTTTACATTTTATATGAAATAGATAGAATATGGTTGTCAATAGAATCTTAGCCGCGCGTTTCTTTTCATTTAAGATTTGTATATTTATTATAATCTTATTATTGAATTATTTTTAAGAGAGACATTGTATCATAGATTACTACAAAGTAATCTAAATAATGAGTATTGTATACCTCGTGTATTACTCTCTATTATGTCTAACCACTAGTTTCAAAACAAAACGTATTTACTGATGCATCTGTGAGTTCTAGGAAATAAATTTACTACGATCTTTGATAATTTATTTAATAAATCAAAACAGTTGAATACGAAAGATGATTTCTTGAGTTATTTTAAAATTAAAAGATAACGAATGTTATCGAAGAAAAATGCAGTGCTTGGAAAGTAAATATTTAAACTTGATTGTACAGGATTTATATTTAAAACTGACCATCAAGTTTCATTTTCATGAACACCAATATTTAGTTAACTGTGTGTCATTTTCACTAGAAAACTACTTGCGATTCGTAAAACTGACTACAAGTCTATTGAAACAGCCTTATATACCGAAAAAATCTTACTAAATTACATGAATGGTTGTGATTATGTTCAAAAAGAATCAAGTTTTCTGATCGTAACTTATAACATTCCGTGAAGAGTGTGATATGTATATATATATATATATATATATATATACATATAGATATAGATAGTGATTATAATGCTGTTTAACTTACTTTGAAGTGATTGTATTTCCAACACTATTTCACTGATTACAATCCCTGCATCAAGTAATACTAATAAGGACATTAATACTTGAAGAACATTACTTCGAAGACAAACTAGGAAATACTGTTTCCATCTGCTCATAAAAAAAATGAGATTGGAAATATTGATTTTTAAATTGTAATAAAAATGGTTAATTAAAATTTTTAATATAAAATTTTGAATATTACATTCGATATGGTTTACATATGAGTGCGTAAATAACCTTTCAGAAAATGAAAAAAATTAATTATGTATATGATATAACCTCAACTTTAAATTCCCAAATCTCTTTTGAAATCTTTTAAAACAACATTAGATCATACATTGCACATTTAATAAAAAAAACGTTTCATTAATTACAATTGAGATTGACTACTTTTAGGATTTTACGTATTTATTTGAATGTTACTTGAGAGTTTCATGTTAATTCAATAAATTTCCCTAAGATCAAGCTTTTGGGTTGCCAACGGTTCATTCCATATACTTTTTAAGTTTTTGTTGATTAACGTCCATCACCAAACACACAGTAACCCAGAAGATTTTCATAAAGTCCATTCCCAAAATCGTATTTTTCCTACAAATGTTTCTTTTAACCATGTATTTCATCATGATATTATTAAGGAATCAGAAAGATTCGTTTACAGTTATATCTTTTTGCAATAGAAAAACATATATCTTGTCTAACTTTACAAGAGGAAACACGTTATTATATAACTTCAATACATAACATTAAAACATGATTTAATTCAATTTGAAATGTTTTGAATTATCCCCTTGCTTGACTTATTGGGTGAGTGGATAACGTGATAGTATTTGGAGTAAACAATACTGGATTCAGGTCCCTGAACGATCATACGTTCTACAATCTAGTCATATCCAGCTAATGTGTCCGAAATAGGGCGAGAAACTCGCCCTGGATTCCACTGCTAATTAAATTCCATCTTTTCTATATTATAATGCTGTTCTTTCTTCTTGATTGCTTTTCTAATCTCAAGAATTTTCTGAACAAGAAATGCTTAAAGTGAACAAGATATATAATTAGTTATTAATATAAAAACAACCGCATACTGATGCTATAAATTCACAAACTAAAAATTGATGACAATAACTTATCTAGCCGGGCAGCAAGATATAGAATGCAATCTCAGGATAAAGATACATCTCTCTGACTAATAAAATTTGGTATGAAACACTGGTCCATTGTATTTTAGAACTGTTATTATACTACCTTGCGTCATGTCAAGAAGAAACCTTATTCGACAAAAAACCTAGATTTTATCACAAGCATAGACTAACTTATTTTTTATTTGTGTCAGATTAGTATTTTTCTCTATATGTTCCTGTTACTTTCTACTTGTTGTACAAATTATATGGTTGCATTTACCACAGAACAATATTTCTACTAAAATCGTAATCACTTTATTTTACTCAGACTTCATTACCCAGCCAACAATAAAGTCCATATGGATCACACCATTTATCAAGAACTAGTGTTTTAGTTGATTATTAGATACTACTGATATCTTAACGATTCACGTTACCTCAACAACTATATTTATACATTTTTTTCTTAGATTGCTTTTTTCCTTAATCTTAGATTCAAGAATAAGATATTTTAGGTACAGGAAATATTTACCTTAGAATATTTAGTAATTTATATGTAAATTAGGTAGCAACAAAAAATTAATACCCTTTTCTTCATTTCAAGAAAACACTAAAATTCATTTTAATATATACATATATGAATAAAATCAGATGAATAATATCGGCACTAACAATGTATGATAGTTGTAAATGTCAAAAAAATGGAAAAAATATATATATATGATCTATTCATAAAAACTAATATAATTCATAGTTGAAATCATGAGACGATTGAAGTTAGATCTCCATGGAAAACCTGTTAGCACTGGACGGCCGTTTCGTCATATTGCGAGACTCCTCAACAATGCGCATCCACGATCCCGCCTCACGAGATTCGGACCCAGGACATACCAGTCTTGCGCCAAAGCGCTTAACCACTAAATCATTCAGCTGGCATTCGATGGTGTTAATGTATAACTTCAACCAATCCACACTCTCTGGTGCGAAATTGATAGATTCTAAGTCCGAATCTCGCAAGGCGGGATCGTGGATGCGCACTGCTGGGGAGTCCCGCAATAGGACGAAACGGCCATCCAGTGCCTACAGGTTTTCCATGGTGGTCTAGCTTCAATTGACTGGTGATTTCAACTATATAAAATTACTAAAATCTCCACAAAATCCTCTTCTGACAAATAGAATTGTTGAAAATCTGTTAAATTTAATTGACCATGCTTAAATGAAAATAAAAATAATCGATGGGCTTTAAGAGAGTTTGTGTATTTTATTTCTAATGATACAATAATAGTAATGAATAATATATGATCGTGGCTATTTTTCATTAATAAAAATATTATGAGTATGAAGAGCACTCAGCGAAGAAAATATTTTTTCGAAAATGTTATTCTTTAAAGTCATATATTCGTATTTATGTTCACTTTACACATGGACGTCTGTCATGAAATAGGAAGTTATCAGTATATATTTATGGAAATTGTCGGCTTTTTATGGAGATCCTGAGCCATTCAATTCCTTACCACAAGTGTAAGCAAGGAAATAATAGGCAACAGTTTAGTTCTAGTACGGAATTCCTCTACAATGAGCATCCAATATCCTCCACACGGAACTGGAACCTGGGGTCACTGGACGCAAAAGTCTAGACCCCTAAACCACTAAGCTTCATCCAAGGATGTTACTGCCCAACTTCAACCAATCGACGACATTGTGCGACCATCTCCTATTATCTTCAGTGGATAACTACCTCACACCTGACACGGTTGAAATCCACTGTATTTGAATTTATAAACAGGCGCTGATCTTTGAACTTCGAGTGATTGTGCTCGTAGTAGCTGAGGAACACATAAGACTTTTAACATCATATACATCTTCCTTAGATATGCTTTGTATTAAAATGCTATAAAATTATTTACCATTACATGTGTTCACTGACAACTTTACCATATCATGTGTCCTTTAGATGATAATTATTCGAGTAACTATGATTAACGACTAAAAAATATTTGAAAATACAAACTTACCTCCTCCCAATATTTATTAGGTCGATGAATATATAAACAGCTGTTATTGTTGTCAGTACATGAGAAACAAAAACCTAAAGTCTGTTTGTAAAGAAGCATTATTATTGAATGCAACCAGTTTACTATGTTAATTTCCTGAAAGTGAGTACCTAAGAAAACTAAGTAATAAAATTTTATTTGCATCAGAGATGTTAACACGTTTTGTATATTCTAGATGAATCTAACGTATAACATTACAAGTCCTATCATAGACACCAAAATGAACTGAAGATAAATGTAATGAAGTTGTACTGAATCATGTGATCATTTAATAAAATACAATCATAGGGATAAATTAGCAGCACATACATAAAATTTTTGATACGAAAACCACTGACAAATGGTTAGAATAAAAGCATTTCACCGAAACCGAATAACGGAATAACTCGATTGTCATAGCAATCTAGTTATAAGTAGTCTCGGATGAACATTGTTATAGATTTACTGAAAATTAAATGCTTCACTGATTTTAGGACTCTTATGCATAATATATCTAAAGATACATGAATTGTTCAATCAAATTTAGAAGAGTTATATCATCACAGATTAAGAAGCACTTCTTGTAAGTACAATATCCATCTCGATGAAAGTCTGTTTAACTACGGTTAGTAAAATAGGGTCAAGAATGATAATGTTTGTTAAACTGTATACTAAGTTCATGAACTGTGAAACTTAGCAATATATCAGTTTATACCACTTTATGTGAGTAGTTACTAGCAACACCTGATCTTGTCAAACAATATTTTAAATATAGATAGTTTGAATATAAGTTTGGTCGAAATACAATTTTGGTGTTCTTATTATTTGAACAAATATTCGGTGTTCCTCTTACAAAGTGACAGGAATGCCAAGCAATTTTGCAGGGAAGAACATTGAGTTATTTCATTACAGTTTGAAATGTTCTCTGTCGAATTCTTCCATCTCCGTTTAGAATGCTTTGACTGATTAGCAAATCGAGACAAAACTCATTGAATGCACTTAGTTGAAAGACTGATCAGTTTCATCCCTAAACATCAATAGAGGTACTCAGACAACTAATATATGAATTAAAATTCAGCCAATTGCACAAGTCAGTGTCGATCTGGACTCAGCGGTTAAGTAGACAAAGCAATGTGGCTTGAAACGAACGGTACTTTTTTCAAGTCTCGAAGTGAAAGTTAACTTCGGAAGCGTCTTTGATTCCACTGCTAGTCACCATTTATCTTTGCTAGATCTTTCAAAAATGGTCCCTAAAATCATTTTCATTCAAGCACTATGTACTTTTTCAGCTCTTACTATCATAAGGAATGTTGTTGTAGTCAAATAATTTAGGAACCAATATTGATTTATACATTTACTGGTTGATTCTCTGACAATAACAACTTTGATACTTATAAATAATTCCATATTTCGCCATTTTCAAAATATACTAAAGAAACAAAAAAAAAGAATACACAAGCAGTTCTTGGTATTTTGCGGCCACACATGGTAAAACATAGGAAAAAGTGTTTGAAAACATAATTATTTACCGTGTAAACGAAAACATTTTGTTAAAAGCAAAGATTTTCAAACTTTTTCCTTATCAGTACATTTTATAAGGATTTCAGTTCTAAGTACATATCGATTATCGTGGATTAATGTTAATATCATTTTCCAAATAAACAAAAGTATATAATAAGCAAAGATGGATGATGGTTAGCAGAGGAATTCAGGAAGATTCAAACAGACAATGCAGAAACTAATTCAAAGTATATAATCTTCTCATTATTAACAAATGTTTGTAAAAAATAAATTTAAGCACTTTTATACCCTGAAGCAAACTTGAATAAATTATTTTACTTTTTAGCTTGAGGTAGATTTTGTTATGTCGTGATGATAAAGTTACCTTCTGTTGCGAAGCTATCTGTAGACAAGCTTGAAGTTCACTTCACTTTATAACAATCAGTTAAATAAACATCTGACTGTTCCCATGTTTTTACATTATTATCAAATCAGCTTATTTAGCTCTTAAATGGAGACTGCAAATTGTATTGGTATTGATTTTTCTTGATGATTTACTTGTATTTTAGTACTATAATTTGAATAGAAATGTTGGTGAAGTCTGAAATGATAAATTGCAACTACGTTTGAAGTATTTAAACTAGTTAGCGGGATTATGATTTCTTAATTGATGTTTTATTTGTGTGTGTGGAAACAACAAGTCAATAAAAAAAGAAAAAATTAATGATATGTAAATAATGAGTTTAATGAGGTTGTAAAGAATAACAATGCGAATTAATTAATAAAAGTTCAGAAGACTATGAATTCACAGTTGTCACAAATAATCAAAAACAGGCTACTTGTGGGTGGTACTCGTCGTGGATTGGTACTATTAGAAATCAAATGGTGTAATACATTAATCTTTTTCTAATATAAGGATCTTCAGAAGTGCACACTCATGATCCTGCTAGACATCGAACCCAAAACTTTCGGTTTTCGTGAAAAAAAACAAAAGAAAATCTACTTATTTTTAACAAACATGTGAATTTAGTCAATCTAATATTTGATTTCTTTTACCTTTTAGCCCGTTTGAAATGTAGTTTATCGTTGTTTTGTTACAGTAGTAAGTTTCCTTTAGAATAGAACCCAAGAAATATATCATCTAAATTGATTTTCAATGCATATCACTCATAAATTAGCATAATTGTGATGAAACCTGTTTTAGAAATGATTTTTGTTGTGATTAGATGCCTTATGACGGCTTTAAGGGAAGGTGACCAAATAAGGGAATTTTCGTATGCACAAGTTTTGTTTGAAGAATGTTAATTGTTATCGTCTTATTCTACTTGATATAAGGAGATTCACAGACCTTACAGAGTAATTCACCCTTGAATAATGATAGTATATACCTAAGTTCGTCAATTATGTATTTCGTGTTTAATAAATGTGATAATATTAAACCTTTAATGGAACTTTCTGTTTGAGATACCAAGAGGAGTCTTGAATATTGTCCACAGGACCAGTTTCATTTATGAATTCGTATAGAATTGACCGAAGTGGGGGCTTAGAATCTACTTGTAGCGGAGATGTTCAGCGAGTTGTAAATATGATGCCCAGTGTGAATGCAAAATGTTTAATTTCTAATCTTTATTAGTTTGGAAGTCAATAGTTCAGTAATTATATCAACTTGAAGTCAGGTATGATACAGTCCTTTCTTAGTTACTGATGCCAAATGGAACTTTACTCAAAAAGAATAATTAAGCTGATATACAATACAAAATATGGTTGTTGTCATTCAATTTGGGATTTCACAAAGAGTACACAAGCTTCTACCGGGTCTCTTTTCGAAATGAACGAATCATTTTTAAGAGGGACAAGTTCAAGGATTTGAACTGAAAACCGTGAATTTACTTTTATCGTTAGCTGTTGATATGACTCTTCAAATTTATATTTAAAGTATTTTGAAAACACTTAAATAAATGAACTTGATTGGAATTTATTTCAAGCATATCATCAGATAGCACGAAAGAGGTTAGTAAAGTGAAGAAGCCAACTAAAATATTACAAGTATATAACCGATGTAGTGTTTAAAAAACGTTGATAAAAATTAGAAATGAAATGAATAAAGCTTAACTGTTTTGAAGTACCTTAGAAATGCTGGTGATAATATCGAATTGTGTATAAAACGTTTGCAAATATGAAGGTGATGAATTGACCAATAATCGCTAAACATACTTCGTAAAATAGAAAGGGGGTGAACTTAAAGTAAAATAAGGGATTAGGTTAGTCAACTCTTGATGCAATGATCAAGTTTTTACTGAAATTTCGCTAAAGATAAGGTGTTTATTAATAGAGCTGCCAACTGAATTGCATGTACTTTTGGTTAACCATCTAGCGAAATGCTTAGAAGTACGTTAAAAGAGTGAATTGTTCTTTGTGGCCAACATAATCTGAACTATATGCAGAAGTAATTTGAGAGATCAAATGCGATGTAGCACAAACTTTTATCATTAACTGGTGTCTGAAAAGGGGAGTCACTTCGGAGATTCATCTTTGCCTCATAAGAAAAAATAATATAGTTGTTGCTTATATATATGCAACAATATTTATATGAGATAGACTATTTCAAAATGAATTGAGATCTCCTATAGAAAACAATGGCTTATGGATTATTTTAATTCACTAATCTACAGAAAAGATGCCACACCTATGACTGCTAAAGACGATGATTTGAAAACTAAACAGCAATTATTTTCCATAAAAGCACTAGGGTTTTATTCAGCTTTTTGTATTCTACATTACAATTATAATCCGATGACAGTTATTTGTGGACAATCAAACAAGCTGGGTATAAGTTATACACTCCAGGATGACTGAAATATTGATATCATTTACTGGAATCTAAAACAATATCACAAAACACCATAAACCATTCCTATCATTTATGCTCCACATTTGATTATTCTATTTATATCATTTTGAAGTACTAGGATGCTAACCGCTTATTGGGTCCCACAATAGGACGGAACGGCCGTTCAGTGCTTCCAGGTTTTTTATGGTGGTCTAGCTTCAAATGACTCGTGATCTCAACTATTGAAATTACTATAATATCCACAAAACCCCATTCTGAAATCAATTGTTAGTTAGACAAATGGGTTTTTTGACATTAAGCCAGACGATTGAGATTAAACTTAGTCAATATCTTTCAAATCCTTAAATAACTGAGACAAATCACATTTCATTTTATTCAAACGGTGCCCGTAATGCTCATAATCAACTTGTATGAATACATCAGTGGCTAATATCCTCAATGTGTTTTATCTCTGAAAGTATATAATGCTCACTTGTACCTACTTAACAAAAACAGACTGATATACCTATCAATTCAAATAGTTATCTGCGATTATTTTGAAAAGTATCTAGGTACTACAGTATCAGTATCGGCTCAACAGATCATTGATATAAATAAGGAATAAAACTTCTGTTGACAGAAACAAAATCGTTTAAAGTAGAAAGTTGTGTTTAAAGTGTTTATCATTATCATTTAAAATAATGATAAATACAAAAATAAACAATGAAAACCAGAATTAACATTGAACTACACACAAACAAACGAACAACTTACGTTTTTGGCTTTTTGTTTTTCGTATGCCGTAATATTTCATATTCTACTAAAGACAAATCAATATTGTCTTTGACCAACTGTTTTAAAAATTTTCTACTCCGTGCCCATCCATAATTATATTCAAATCTGATTAAGAAAAAAAAACATTAAAATCAAGCGAAATATTAAAATAATGTACAGAATTTATCGGATAAAAAGCCGATAGAACGCCTTACATATTGCTGATTGTTTACAATGAGTAAACGTTTATTTTTCAAGAAACCATAATGGTTACAACATTTATTTGGTTGCTTGGTAACATTAATAATGAATGTTTACGCATGCAACATTTATTTTTATAATGAATTTATTATTATTCTATATTCGTATTAAACAGTGTTTTAATATATAATAATTGTCTAATGATTTGACAATAAATAATATCGCCTAAGAATTTAAAAACATGGTGGTAATTGTTAATTAGAGTGATATAATAATGGCAGTTTTTAATGAAGCTGGTTATACGTTTCTAATGTTCTTTTGATGGAAAAATCTCACTTTGCAGTACAGCTAACATCCAATGTAGAATATTGTACCAGCATGTTTTGTTTTAAAACATGACAAGTTGATCATTTAAAATGTATAGTGTTGCCTCAGATTAAAATTAGTTAGTGATTTATGTGCTTTCTACCTTCGTCACATCTTTAGTATTAACGTCATAAATGAAAAGAGATGTATTTCATTCCTAATAACGTCCATATCGTATTTACTAAATTGACGTAATTTATTTTTAAGAAAAATTTATGGTATTATTAAGTTATTATTATTGTACAGTATCTGTATGATTCAAAGATAATCATTACAGAGCAATTAAAACGCTAATGCATTCACCAAAATTGCTTTGAATAAGAATCCTTAAAATGGAACATCGATTCAAATCCAGATAAGTCAATAACTTGATAAACAAAAGAAAATGCTAGTGAATAAGCTTAAACTAAAGGAACAGACATTTTGAGAAGAATCAATTTACAAAATTTCTTTAAAATATCTCATAAACACAATATACTTCTTTTGATACATAAAATAAATGATAAACTTGGGTTTAATTCCCTCAACTTTTGACACATGTAAGATAAAATAGTTCAAGAAAAAATTTAATTTTAATAGTTGGAGTCATGAGCAAATTGAAGCTAGACCACCATGGAAAACCTGGAAGCACTGGACATTATTTAACATATGCTCACTAGTGAATGGCTTCAAGAGGTATTTCCTGGAGTTCTAGTAAGAAGCAGTGACCAGTGGAGTTCAACCGGGTCTGTTGTAAGATGTCAACTCACTGAAGACAATGGTGGATGTGTCGCCTGATTTAATGGACTAATTGAAGTTGAACTTTAACACCGTTGGATACCAGCTCAGTGGTCTGAAGGTTAGGTGTTTGCGCGCGAGACTGATAGGTTCTGGGTCCGAATCTCGCAAGGCGGGATCGTGGATCAGCATTACTGAGGAGTCTCACAATAAGACTAAAATGTCGTTCAGTGCTTCCAGGTTTTCCGTAGTGGCCTAGCTTCAATTGACTCGTGATCTCAACTATTAAAATTAATATAGTATCTACAAAAAACCCTTCTGATATTAAAAATTTAATCCCTAATAATTTTGATCATATATAAAAACTGTCGTCTAAATTTAATCGAATAGATTCACAGTATTTGGATGCCGAGTAGATGTGAGACAATGAGGAAGAATGCATTTGTATAATTTTGATGTTTGATTATAATTCCTTAAAAAAGCTTGGATCGGATTGCCAAGCAAAACGTTGGATTTACTTTAAATTAATTAGCTGAGATTTTACAAATACATTCTTCCTTATTAATGTAACACTTAATATTTAGAAAATAATGTTTGTACATTTTAAAAGTATTATTTCATTCATGTCTGTGAGTCTAATTACCCGTAAATTTTGACAAGATCATCAATATAACTTTTTTGATCACTATCACATGCCCGTTTCATGATGTTAACGAAACAACCTTTTAATTAAATCAATTCATTTCCACCTATTACCATTTCTGCCAAGTTTAATTGACTTTATATAGGTGTTAATGGCATGTACTTTTTAAATGCACCCAGAGTACTATTGTCACTCAAAACAGTCAAAATGTTGATTATATTGAATAGAAGCGTTACCTATAATTAAATCGACATATGTTCCACCAGGGTCAACAGGCATCAGTAGGCTACCATTACATATTTGGTAATAGTGACTAACTTGAGCTTTCTTATAATTATAATTTGTGTTGACATTATTATCGTGTCGTGAGTAATAGTAATAATATTTTAAGATACGTGAAATATGTGAACTTTTTGTGTTTTAATTTGCTTTTTCAGTACTGACGATTCTCAGTATAGGTTATTTAACTAAATAAGGGATAAAACACACATTATTTGTTACAAATAAACAGGAATAAAATTGTTGTTGATATTATGTTAAGCGTATAATAGACATCGTCTGACAGCAGATAACTTGTCCCTGATATCCGTTTGTTTAGAAAACTACTTCTTTGCAAGGGTGTACGCTAATACTAATTTTGTACATATGTATATCCAGAGATCATTAATTGTTAACTGATTATCGAAACATATTTCAGGGATGATATTCGATTGCTAATTTTTGGAAAGATCATTATTATTAAATCTCTTTAACAGTAACAGTTTTTGCCACTAAATACTTCATCGAATTCCTGTAGAAATCCGTTATACACTCATTTCATAACAGCATTACATTTGATAAACAACTAAATTGCTTCATTTGTTAACTGTAATACAATATTTTTGCTGTTCTCTATGACTTTTAAGAATATAAACTATCTATTAAGTTGCAAGATCCTAAAATATATTTCTCATCTGAATTTTTACTTCTTATTTAACACCGTGAACCCTTATTTTCTTTTCAGTAATCATCTCATAACATTTTATCATAGCATTGTTCAATGAGGAAAATTAACTGTAAACGATTGACAGCACGTTGATTTTCTATTATCAAGATAAACAAATGATGTGAGAGATAATTTCTTCTTTATTCCTTCCTGAAACCAATATACAAGAATGCACTAATAATCATTGCCATTACAACTGAGAATTCACAGAACTTTAATCACACACATAACATGAAAATTTTACTTTTACTTATATAAACGTCATTGACTCCAAAGTAGAGCACAGTATGATACAAATATTATATTAAATGATTATTTGAAACACAGTAACTCATAGATTGTGTAATCGATAATTTATAAGTTAATATGTATTGTTAACAGTATCTTGGAGATAATTAAGTTTCATTAACTCTTTAAAATTTTAGCAAATGAAACCTACACATGTAGATTTCTAGTTACAGTTATGGATTTACAAATGGTATGTTATTTAATTTTCTTTTTCCATCTGTTATATTCACTTTACTTCATTGATCAATACATGAATATCTCTTGAAAAATGATATATACACATATATATTATGGCCACGCGTTTATAGTCTCTGTCAGGGAAGTCCTACTCACTGCCTTCTCGTGACGCTTAAACTGGGTCGGTGAACACGGAGAGTTTATCTAGGGGAGTTGGAAAACCCTGATTCCAAACCAATGATGCAAATGGGCTCCAGTATCCTGAGGGAACAAATGGCGTATGAATCAATCATTGGTCACCAGATACCACAGAACTGCATCTCCTCACAACGCTCTACTGCCTTGTGGTTCAGACCTTTAGGTCAAAGGCTCCGAGTGTGGCCCCCTAAGAAAACCACCTGTTTCAGTTTGGGCACCTGGGCAGTATCACAGCCCTCACACAAATAAAACGAGATTTGTGCGGCACATACTTATCTGATAACCCCTTGTACCAACATTTATGTACTTAAATCAATAAACATTATGAATTAAATTTAATTAACTACATGATTCAATATGTTAGATCCTATAACATTATACCGAAAATAATTGATCTGTCATAAAATTTGATATTAAAGTCAAGTTTATTAAATAATTTTTGTCAGTATCATTATTTCTAAAAGTTCAAAATATATGTAGATACATTTAATGAATATCATCAATGTTTACTTGAATCGGAAAATTTGTACTTTTTTACCCCCCCCCCTAATATACACAAAATATTTTTTTGAAAGTTTTTTTCCTTTTTATTTATTTAGTTAGTTAAATAAAACTCTTTGAAGTAATGAGATATAGATGGAAAATTCATTTCTTCATGTCATATGAACTAATATACATTAACTTTTTGTAAAAAATAAAGAAAAGAAGAAAAAAAGAAAAAAACATTGAAATGTGTAAACAAACAAAAAATCAATTAAATTCTTTTCTCTTTGATGTATATTATGTAAAACATATAAAACTGCCACTTATTAAATGTTAGAAAATTTTTTTTAAAAATATATTTTACTGTGTTCGAGTGTTGTTTTCTTTATTATATACATGGTAAATAATGTTCAAGGTAGTATTCATTCAAAGTTCAACTTTTCAGTTTGTTAATCGTTGTTTTCCAAATAATTTTTTCAAAACTTAAATAGGAATTCTTTTAAATGAAATGATTTTTATTATAATAAAGTTGAATGGAGTTCAGAGACAGATAAGATAAATTGTGTGATAATTGACACCGGGAACATCATTGATATTTCTCATGATTTCAAAATTATTAGCAGATAAAGAAGTACAACTGCTCTCCGGATTGCTAAAGCTATCTCGATAAAAAAAAAACTTAAACAGGATGTATGTATTCAAAAAGAGACAGTGACAAACCTGTTACTGCCCTGGTGAGAAGCGAAATCCGACTCACACGTCCTCATAGTGCCTCCTGGATCATGGCATCCATCCCATCGACTAACGTGAGCGGTAATGATGGTGGTGTAAATCGGCCTAATCAACCGCTCTACCAATACTTGAGAACGAATACGAATGCTACATAGAGTCATTGCATAACAATTGTGGGTTCAAAAGAGTGGTAAAAAATTTAGTCTGCCCAAACAAAAACAAAAAGACAAAAATGTGGGTTTGTGAGTGTTATGTAATAGTTCTGCGTAAGCAGTGCAGAAATAGCTATCCCGACCCGGTAGTTGTGCCGTGCTTCGATGGAGCACTCTTCTCCAC